AGTCGAGGGGCGGAGGTCGGATTCGAACCACGAACCTTCCGGTCAGTAAATTCGCGCTCTAACCACTTGGGCCATCTCGCCCCTTCAGATAACGAATGGGTGCGTGGATGTGTGAAGTCGACAAACCGTAACCTTATTGACATGCTGTTAGAAGACGGGAGGTTAATACGCCGTCATGGACCAGATGCGGAACAAACACTGGAGACGACAGTGCAGGTGGACTCCGGACGGGAGCAAGAGAGTTCGGAAACACCCACAGATGCGTCAAGGTGTTTGCGCCGGTCGGCTAGGGAGTCAAGGCCGGTCGAACGCTACCAAGCTGGAGTTGGCTAAATCTAGCGGTGGAGGACTGTAGTAGCTGCTTCGGTGTGTCCGAGATTTAGCGCGTGTGCGTGTCCGTTCGTCGTCCCGCCATCGATCTGACGTGTGACTTGAGTGGCTGATTGGATGCGTGTCCGATTGGTTGGCTCGCGTGAGCGCTGTGGGTTGACTGGATATGTGACTCCGTTGTTTTGCTTGCCTGCCACGAAAGCGGACCAGTTTGACCGCGTGTACTCAATACACCCGTGTCCATACTTACGTGTTCTACACTACTTACGTGAACCACAATACGGATCAACTGAAATAATCTTCGGGAATTACCGGCTTTCTGGGCCTCTTCCATCAGCTTGGCTTTCTGTATCCACCACACTTCGCGGTCGGTTTTCAGGCTCACTTTCACTTTACGTCTGATAAATCATGGCACCGGGTTATGTTCGGTCCCAGCTGGGATATTCCTCCGAGATTCAAGCAGCGCCACCGTTCGGTCTGATATCCAGTGCTTGCGTGCACCTGGTTGGACCGTGCCATGCAAAGAGGTGGCAATCTCGTCCCAGTATGAGTTCACATCTGATGGTGGAGCGTTTGGAACAAACTCTAGAAGAGGATTCTGGTAAGGTCGTTTAACATCCGAGTCTGCCAGGCTCTCAGTTGCCAAGCAATTTATCCGCACCTTCAGCGGCCCGGAAAACGTAAGGGGAAGCGATTCCGGACGAGCGCGTAGCCGGAATCCACAAATGTGTTCCAAAACGACCGGCAGCCAGTTATTGATCCACGCCATTGGTAATTGATGCTAATGTAGTCGTTTTGAGTTTGTAGCTTGCCTGCCGTGGGAGAGCACCATGTGGCCAGACGACTTCGGCTATTTCGGAAGTTAGTACTGTATGAAAGGTGCCTGCGATCAGCACAGCTGAAGCAATCGTTCACTTCTGTCCGTACCAAGTTCAATCCATTTCGACCTCCTAATTGAGTCTCAGATGCACTAAGCCTGCCCACTTGTGCATTCATATCTCCGGCAACCACCACGATGTCTAAGCTTTTAGTTCACCGCAGCAGGGCATTTAGGGACGAGATGGCCCAAGTGTTTATAGCGCGAATTTACTGGCCGCAGGGTCCGTGGTCCGAACCTGACCTCTGCCTCTCGACTTCCTCTGTTTAGGCTTGGGCAACCTGGCAGTATCCAAACCCTTGTGCTTCCTTCGGGTGGCGTGGCAGCTAGGCACTGGAAGGGTGTTACAGCTGAACGATTGACGGCGTCGGAGCTACAGTCAGTTGGGGCGTAAGCAGACACAATAAGCAGACATCTATCAACTTGCCGCTTGTGAGACTCCTTCACAGACGTTACCAGACGAACTGCACAGGAGCGACTATCAACAGGTATCCAGTTTAATAAGCATACATCTGTCCGGTGACTTAGCAGGATACCAACTCCTGCACATCCCGCTGCAGCAGCCTGTGGATCACCAGAGGTGCGCAGCCGGAAGCGAGTGAAGGGTAATGGGGCGGTTAGCTCGCTCACTGTGCTTGTATCTTGAACTCTCGTTTCCGAGCCACAGCACGCATCAACACCAATCGGGTCCCGTGTGAGAGCAAGAGCAGCTTATTGTCCTGCTTGCTTCAAAGTGAGGATATTGAAGGCGGTTAGATAGATTACATGTCGAGGCTTGAAGATTGATTTTGGGATACCTAAGGATGTCGCCACCATGTGCCGAGCAGATCTTGTACACAAAGCCAGTTCCAAGTGCTGGGCCTTTAAGAGGGTGGTTATTAATGGGATAGGGAGAGGGGGAAGAAAAGTATGTGAAAGAGAAAGAAGGAGGCGCCAGCAGTAACCTGTTTCGCTTGCCCACCCTCCTGTATGCAGCAAGTAAGGCGACCCGGCTGATGGTACCACGCGACGGCCGATGTGGCATGAGAGTATTGTTAGTCGTGAATGTCATGGTTTTACGAGGGCTGGGATACTGCCAGGGCGCCCACACCTAGACAGGAGGACGATTAGGGTCCTCAACCAAAGTCTTTGGCTCAAAAGTCTAACCGCAAGGCAGCGTTGTTTGCGGGAAATGCAAATGCATTACCATT